GGCCACTCGTCGAGGATCCTCCACAGGGACTCGTCGGTGGAGGAGGGTGGTCCGTCGAACTTTTCGATCGAGGCGACCAGCGAGAGGCAAGTGGCGCCGACACTGATGGCCAGCATCCCGCTCTCGGGGTCGTAGCTTGCCCTCAACGGCGCCGGGATCTTAGCGACAGCCGTGGTGGCGGTCACCTCATCCGAATAATTCGAGGGGCTGTTCGTGTTGTATACTTTCACCCTGAACGTGTAGGTCTGGTGTTGTTCGAGATTGGTTACGTTGCAGGGGTTGGACCGTTGGCAGTCCAACTCCAGCCACTTGTCAGGGGGTGGTCTGGGCACGGCGCAGTCTGGGGCCACGATCTCGTCTCCTCCGGGTACTCGTCGGTAAAAGACGAAGTACTTGGTGATGGGAAGCCCACCGTCGAAACCGAGCTCCCAGAGCAGAGCCACGTGCGTTGGACCCACGTCCATCGCGGTGATGTTGATGGGTCTTTCTGGAGCGCCTTTAGGTTGCAGCCTGATGGTCGATGTGATGCTGCCTTGAGCGTTGGCTGCCCTGCAGCTGTAGTCGCCGTAGTCTTGCTCGCGAATGTTCGTTATCCTCAGCACGGAGGTGTACACGTCGTAATTGTCGCTGCTCGTGGAGATCTCGTAATGGCCGTCGCTGGAGGAACCTTGAAGACTCGCGGCGTTCGTACCGAAACTCCATTGAAATTCGGGCTTGGGCCACGCTTGAACTTTGCAGACTACCTCGGCGGTTTCCCTTAGATTGTACGCGACCTTTCCGTGCTGGTGCAACGCGATCGGCTCGTGTTCCACCTTCAGCATCATCGTCGACTCGACCTTTTTCACCTCGTTAACGAACACGCAGGTATACTTGCCGCGATCGCTTGCCACGATCTCGTCGGTCTGCGGTCTCGCGTGACCCAGGAAGCTTAGAGTTGAGTTTACGGTGATAACGTTACCGTGTCCCTCGGAGGCACTGGTCGTCACTTTGTACAGTCTTTCGTCGGCGGTGAGCTCTTGATCGTCCTTCAACCATCTCACGCTGGGTCGCGGTTTACCCTGCGCCACGCAGGACACTTGAAACGAGGACTCGCCGACTCTGCGAATCGAATTTGTTTCTTATCGTTTCCGTAGAATATGGAAGACAGAAGTGGTGGACTTTTTGGACATCGAATTACGAATCGACTGAATGGTTTAGATGATCCAATAAGTTCTGCTAGCTCATATTTTAGCGGGCAGGCCCACCCTGCTTCCAACCTAGTTACGCCAATGAACTTATTGGATAATGTAAGACATTCTTGAAAAGTTTTTTAATAGCCCGTTATTAGCTCCGTTCCGTTGAAACAAAGATCTGACGTTTAATTTCACAATGGTTAATACGAAGAAACGTTTCGAAAAGTAAACTGAATGCCCCCCGATGGAACGAACGCCAGAGGATAAATCCGTATTTTTAACGGCAAAAGAGATAATTAAATATTCTGTTTCTGGTCGACCATTCTCCATTAAACCCCCGTTATCCGGCATAATTACGAAGTACGTCGCGAGACATACGAAGATGAATTTCATGCAAATGCAAAAGTAAGTAGCGGGAAAGATCTATACCGACGAGCCCTCTCTGTTCCTTGAATCGGAATCGTAAACGTTAACATTGATGCTGCCTTAATTACTGTACCCATTTAATGTACTCGCAATATCGCGAAGCGATTAAAAACTTTCCCGTCTTTTTAAAGTATAAAGGTCTTTAACGTTGGCCGGCTTTAATACGTGGCTTAAAGTACACTGACCCAATTTCCCGTCGACCTACTAATAACGCGGCGCGTTATGGAGAAATGCTTTTAATTAGCATCTAAACTTTTATCTACCATACTGTAATACCGAAAGAAACCCAACGGTAAGATACTTACTTCCTAGTAACGTGTGGCTGCAACTTTGTAAGTATCTTGGGTGGTTGATGCACGGTCAGATTAACGGAGGCAGGCTCTCCGTTGCCGATCTCGTTGGTAGCATGGCACTTGTAAGTACCCTCGCTGCCCAGGTGCACCGAGTCGATCTCGTATCTGGGTCCGGTGTTTTCCGAGGGCATCGATATGATCCCAGACTCTCCTTCTTTCCACCACTTGTACCGAGGCTCCGGGTATCCGGCCGGGCTGGCCATGCAGGTCAAAATAACCCTGGATCCCTCCACGGCGACGGGCGAGTCCGGCGTGACCCTAGCTGGACCAGGTTTGTGTCGCACCCGAACGGTCAACCTCGCCGTCGCCGAGTAATTTCTTCTCTCGCCACCGGAGGGATATATCGTGTTCACCGCTCGACAGGTGTAATTTCCGGCGTGATCGGCGGTGACGCGACTCAGTCGTAAAATGGAGCCCAGTTGTCGGAAGTCCGGCCGGCCATCGCGCAGCCATTCGATCACGGTCGGCGGAGGATTCGCGGTCACGTTGCAATGCACCGTAACTGTGTCCTCCACTTCCGCGATCCTCAAGGAGTCGCCTTCTATCGAGACTGTGGGTGGATACAGTACGTCCAATATCAAGGAACTCTCTCCTCTTTTTCCTAGCCCGTTGTCCGCCTGGCAGGTGTATTTACCCGCGTCTTGAACGGTCACCCTACGAATGGTGTGCTCGAAGGTGGTCGCTACGAAGCTGCCGTCCCTCCACCATCTTATCATGCCCACGGTGGGCTTCGAATCGACCCGACACTCCAGGTTCGCCGTTCCGTTCACCTCGACCTTCAAAGGGTTCTCCGGACCGACGCTGACCCTGGGGAAATAGTTGACGTCGAGGGTCACCGTGGCGTTCAGAGTTTCACCCTCTCGCATCGCTCGGTTCCTCACGACGCATCGGAACGTGGCTTTGTCGTCCTCCTTCTTTGGCTCCACCAGCAAAGTCCTGCCAGAGTGGAGGATGCTGGTCTCGTTGCCCCGGTACCATCTCACTTCCGGCTCCGGGCTACCGCCGTTCGTGTCGCACTGCAACTCTAACTTCTGGCCCTCGGTGGCGGACGCCGAAGTTGGCGAGATAGTCGGTGGCCCTGGGGCTCGCAGCACCGTCAGCGTGATGAACTTCCGGTGCAAGTCGTATCCGGTGCCGCTGGCCTTCACTCGGCACTCGTATTTCCCGTTGTCCCTCTCGTACGAGACGTTGCGTATCTGCAGGTCGTACCTGCCCTCCTCCAGGTTCATGAACACTTTGTACTGTGGCGACAGGGCCAGGTTGTCGATCGCCGCGTTGTCGTGGTTGTTGTTCGTGTGCGTCAACCAGAAACACGTGACGTTTTCTCGAGGCGGGGAGAACCGACACTGCAGCTGCACCGTCGACCCTTCGTGCGTGTCCATCTGCGTCTCCTCCACGCGCCCCTGTGCCGCTGCTGAAATACCCGAACAAACTCGTTAGAAATAGAGGCATGACTATCTTATCCCTTAACATGTCGATAGTATCGCTAACACGAATTGCGAATTATCGACTTGTAGAGGAAGTGATAAATATGGGACTAACATATTAGGACGTTGAACTTGTTAAATGTTTGAAGATTTCAATTTACGTCTAAAGTGTTTGCTATGATATGGAAAATAATCTGAATGTTTGCTGGAAATTACTAGAGCACAAGGGTGCTCTAAATATAGGCTACTCTTAAATGACCTAAAAGCGCAGTACAAATTCATACTTGTTACCTAGCGAAAAGTAAAAAATCATCGCAAATTAACACGTACTTGGACCGCTTTCGCTGAAAACACTTTTTTGTCGATTTCCACGAACCAAATACGAAGCCGTAGATTTTCGCTAGCGTATCCAGTTTCAGGGAAATTTGATTGCGAAGAAAATGCGGAATTTCAACCGTGGAAATGTACTGTACTCAAAAAAGTATGTCAACATGGCGTTAAATATGTATTAAGTGCGTTTAAACGAGGATAAATGTGCAAATAACAGGGGAAATCCGTCAATGTTTGCGGACATTTTTCAATTTATTTTAAAAACTAAAGCCGTGGGAGATAATCTAATTGCGTCGCGTGGCGAACACACATTTTTTTCGGGAACGCATCAAAGAAAGTGGTTCGTTTATATTTTCAATTTAAAAACGAAATAGTTTGGCAAAACGCCGCGACGGAAACGGTTCTCAACCACGGCGTCCGTTTTATGGCGTTCCTGTTATGGTTGCGGCGAGTTACGCCATGCGGCAGCACCGTCGACGCTGAGAACCTCCGCCATCGTTTCACGTTTTGTCAAACTATTTAGTTTTTTGATTGAAAATAAAAACCGACCAACAGATTTCTTTGATGCTTGTCGGAAGAAAAATGTTTGCTCTATCGCGTGACGTAATTAGATCCTCCCCCTGTGCGGTGGTTCTTAAAACAAATTGAAAAATATCTCTGGAAATTAGTGTATCGGTTGTTTACTGACGTTCCGGACGATGCATTGTATTTACTCAGAGATGAATCGACACATTTTCAATTTCGACATTGCACAAACATATTCAAATGATTTTAATGACATAATAACTGTAGGGGAGGAAGTTCACAGAATCGTTCTGCGTTAAACGCGATCGTGTAATCGTTGCAGTTCTAAATATTTGTATAGCTGAAATTGAATGCGCCGGGAACTGAAAGTCGGGAGTTGGGATATTGTGAAATTGGGAAATTGGGGATTTGATGAGTTTGGGAAATCGGTATACTTTGGAATTGGGAGCAATGTTTCGGAATGGGGAAATTGGGGAATTGGGAGGTTTAGGGTTTAGGAAATTTGGGGGTTGGAATTTTGGAAAGTGGGATGCTTGGGAGATGGTTTGAGATTCAGGACATTTGGGAGTTAGGATCTTTGGAAAATAGAAAATTTGGGAATTGGACAATGTGGGAATTGGGACATTTGAGAATTAGGACATTTGAAAATTAGAAAAATTGGGAGTTGGACAATTTGGGAATTGGACAATGTGGGATTCGGACAATTTGGGAATTGGAACCTGTGGGAATTGGGACATTTGGGAATTAGAGCCCTTGGAAATTAGAAAATTTGGGAATTCGATAATTCGGGAGTTGGAAAATTTGGGAATTGGACAATGTGGGAATTGGACAATGTGGGAATTGGATAACGTGGGAATTGGACAATGTGGGAATTGGGAGATTTGAGAATTAGGACCTTTGGAAATTAGAAAAATTGGGAGTTGGACAATTTGTGAATTGGACAATGTGGGAATCGGACAATTTGGGAATTGGAACCTGTGGAAATTGGGACATTTGGGAATTCGAGCCCTTGGAAATTAGAAAACTTGGGAATTCGACAATTCGGGAGTTGGAAAATTTGGGAATTGGACAATGTGGGAATCGGACAATTTGGGAATTGGAACCTGTGGAAATTGGGACATTTGGGAATTCGAGCCCTTGGAAATTAGAAAACTTGGGAATTAGAGCCATTGGAAATTAGAAAACTTGGGAATTCGACAATTCGGGAGTTGGACAATGTGGGAATTGAACAATGTGGGAATCGGACAATTTGTTAATCGAAACATTACGAAATCAGGATATTTAAGAATTAGAAAGTACAGTAATCAGTAAATTTCGAAACAAGAAAGTTCAGAACTCGAAATTTACGAATCCGAACATACACAACTTGTCCAGAAAAAGAATGGACTGAGAAATTAGAAAACATTGAAATCTGAACATGAAAGTCCAAAAAGTCCAGTTCTTGCCACCTAGCCATGCACGTGACCGCGGTCAGACTGACCACACGGCAAAGAATCTTTTTGCGAGTTTCAACCGGTATCGAGTCGTATCCCGCGTTAAAAACGATCGACGTTGCGACGATTCGTCGTCGCTTGTCCCATCATTGGGTCGCGTAACGGTAAAGTCACCGGTTTGACTTCTCACCGATGCGATATCGCGAGTTCTCCCGTTCCCCTCGTTTGAGCCCCACTCTGGCTCGTTAGTTCGTCGAAGGTATCGTTCCTCTTTCTGTCTAACCGCCTTCTATACTCGACATCTCTTTCTAACCGTCCTCTCTCGCCTTACCTGTACGTACATATATACCGGCTACCCCACACCCCATCTTTTCGCTGCCTATGCACGAGTCTATATTTACGTCTGCTTGTCTCTCTATAAATCCATCCGCGCCGTTCTATCCCTCTTCCTTCGGCCTCCCCCTTCTTACCTAACCATCGACCCATCGTAGTTTACGTTCTCCCCTATATATACCCCTCTTGCTCCAACTTACCCGACGGCTTGTTTACTTTTCGATACCAGCTTTCTTGCTCGCGTGCCATTGAGCCAACGTTCGATTTCTTCTATCGTTTTACTATCTTTACGAGCACGCATATACGCTTCTAATAATTTCTGTCGCGAAATAGGTTTTCGAGAAAGTGGAACTTAGTGTAACGAAGCTCTTAAAAGCATTGTACATTTAAATGGGACTTTCTAGTTTTCGTCGTAGCCTGAGGCCATCTTTTCATGGCGCGTTGCGTACGCATAGCGAAGCGCACAGTAAGTGACGCACCCATAACGCTTTAACCGTTCGTGTTTGTATTTATAAACATTTCTAGCGAATGTCCCCGTTTCTGAATTTTAGGCAGTGTTCGTAAAAGTGTAATAAAAACTGTATCAACGCGATGGGAAACGTTTTCGCAATTTCTGAAGTAATAAAGTTTATCGTCCGTGAATATCTCGTGTATTCTATATTGCATAAGAAGATAAACATAAATAAAGATGCGGTGAGTAGGAGAATTTCTCTGAGCCCGATTGTGTAGTCGCGGATCTGTGCACGTGCGAAAAATCGATCGGTGTTTTGAAACGTCGAAATATGTGCGTATGTAACTGAAGGCTTGTATTCATCGAAGCGAAGAGCGAGGCGTCGTTAGCGTTAACGCCTCGTTCGTACGGAGACACCTGTGGCAGGCAGCTACGTCACGAGACCTAATACCGTCACAAGCGTAGTTTGGTATTTCCCGAATGGGAAGCTGCTACGAGGCGACCTGCTCTGCATACCCGACGAATTTACGACGCTTCTAAGTTAAGTGCCATCGGTTTCTCCTTCGGAGCGATAAAATAGCATAACGCCGTGGTGCTCGTTAGTTTATCAGCTACCGTAGCGTCTGAACGACCATATTGAAATCGCGGGGTAACCATTGGCCGAGCGAAAGGAGGCCTCTTACCGTTGCGCGGGAACGGAACGGGTTTTTAAAACGCGTTACGCGTCTTCGGAGATCTTCGCCTTTTGCGGGTAAACAAACATCGACTTCTACATCTTTTCCCTTTGACGAAAGAAACTTCGATTTTTTACATCGACACAGAATTTAATATTTGATGTTTTAAAAGATTCCTCATCAAATTATGAGGAATATTTTTATTTTCGTTCAGTGCAAAAGTTCGCAAACTTTTGCAGAGTGTATGTTAAAAATAGAGAAGAGAGGTTCCATTATTCTCGGATATTTTCGTTCCGTTTCAAATCTGTGTTTGGAGATTGCGTTCATGAAGCATGGCGATTTAGCATGTGATGTAATGAGCAGTAATGTATGATAATATAACGCATATCTGACGATATAATGCGTGGCAATATAACAGACAACGTATACAGTGTGAAGTAAAATAATGTGACGATGTAATATGTCATGATACAACGTGGAAATACCAACCTACGATATAACGTGTACTAATATGATACGAGGAGACATGTCGCGTAATAATACAACGCGTGCGGACGCGATGCGTGGTAATATAACGTGTGGCGATGCAACACGTAGCGATTTACTGAGGCAGATAGAATGTATAATACAACTCGTGGAATTCGTGATACAATGTTGATACAACGTGCGATAATGTGTAGTTACTTCAAGTGTTAATGTTACAGGTAACGACATACTGCAATATAATGCGTGGCGATAGAGAAAGTGGTAATCTAAGGAAGGATAAAAGATCATGCAACGTGTGGATATATAGGGAGTGGAAATACACTGCATAGAGTAACAATATAACAAGTGGCGGTATAGACTGTGGCAATATAACGAAAGTCCTTATAGCGTCTGCTTATTAAATTCGTTTGACGTACAATGATGACAATATGACGTGTAGACATGTAACGTTTGCAATATAACGCGGTGGTGATATTTCTTGTGGGTACAAAAAGTTTGCAATATAACGCGTGGCAATATAGCGCATTATCTAACGCGTTTGGTGTCTAATACGCGATACATCGCGTGCTATATAATGCCTAGTCGTATGTTGATTTAACGCGCGGCAATATAACCGATGGAAATACAATAAATGACTATGTGTATCATACAGTTGTACAATACATTGCGATATGACAGATGGCAATATAATGCGAGGTAATTGAACATACAGTTATACAATGCATTGTGATATGTTACTATGGATGAGAATAAAA